GGGGAGAACCCGTTTTACCCTCATACCGGACGGAGTATTGAGGTTCATGGTTTTGGCGCCCATACCGAACGGGGTATGGGGACGGCCCTGGAATCAGATTATTAATGTTAATGGTTCACGTGTAGCGGGGACCCCCTATGGATCCCCATGGATACTAGTAGGCTGGTAAAAGAGGAAATCTGTTGTCTGATTATTAGAGTGCAAAAGTATAACATGTGTTATGTTACAAAGTGTATATGATTTTATGATGACTTTAATATTATTGTTTTCATACGTTATTTTCACGAGTCTCATCAAGGTAGGTAGACAGTAAAGGTTTTCATCATTAATAAATGAGTTTGTTATAAATTATGTCCATTTGTCATTTTTGTTTTTTACCAACCTTTACTTATGTGGCAGTGAGATAGTGTGATATCCTTACTAAGTTAATATAGTTCATTCCTTACTTAACAATTTCAGATCAGGAAGATGACGAGTTAGACGCCTAAAGATTTTATAGTTCTATTTATAGTTTTTATTTCGAGTATTTCTTTTAATTAGCTTATTATTTCATACGTTGAATACGTTTATGGTTATTGTGTAAGAGATGTTAATCAAAACTTTTATTTCGCTTCCGCATTTAAAATTTTTAATACATACATCTTCATTTAAATTTTCGGAGCCGTTAGAGGATTGGGCAATCACATCGATTAAATAAAATTTTATTTCCTCTGCCTGAGATCCGCCATTGTTTTAAAGAGTTTTATTTAAATTAATTTTTACACGCCATTAAATTTATTTAACGCTGTTATTTTATATCCGTGTAAAAATTTACTTTGTGGGATTATATCTGTTACATTCTCTTCTCTGTCGTCTTCTTCTTTCTTTTATTCTGCAACACACAGCCACGGTACTCGGAGACCATGTCGTCGAGCTTCATCATTCCGTCTGCCCTCTTCCGTTTGCAACACCAGACAAAAATTAAACATGAAAACTTAGAAAATCTAATTAATAACAGCTAGTTTTTATTTATCGTTAAATTTGCTCACCCTTTCATCGTAATCATGTCTGTTTCAGGCTCTCTCATCGACGACCCACAAAATTGATTCTCCGTGAGAAGTAATGATGACGCTTGGACCAACGTTGACGAATAAGAAGCCGTCTGTGAAATCACGTAGGCTACAGTGTGTTTTTGTGTTGCATATGGAAGAGGGTAGATAGAAGGATGAAGTTCGTTGCTTTCCTGGTGCCATGAGATGTTGAAGACTATGGAAGAAAGAAACGAGTAAAAGGGCAAACAAGGGAATATAATATATTTTTTTGTTGTCCGCGTGGCATACAAAATAGAGTATTGCCAGGTTAGCTTCCACGTAAACACAAATTAACAGTGTTAAATAGTTTTAACGGTGAGTGAACTTTTCAAATAAATTTTGAAATATACGAGGATTAATCTGAAAAATAAATTGAAAGAGTTTATTTGAATAGTTCTAAATAGCAAAGAGCAATTATATATTTAACCTCTTTATAATAATTAATGTTCCAAATATGTGTTTGACTTCTCAAATAGTCAAATTTATTTTAAACTACTAACAATATAATATAAAGTTACAAATTTAAATTTTATTAAAATTATAAAATTTATTATTTTATAAATATGCGATTAATTAATAATGAACATATGAAAATACTTGATTTATAAATTCAGTTGAAGCCATAAGATTTATTATATTATAGATGTATTATTGATCGATAAGTAGTATTATATATAATACTTGATTCACAAATTTAAATATAATTAAAACATCATAATTTATTATTTTATAAATATATTATTCACTAATATAAATAAATTTAATTATTAAATTCTATAATTATAATCTAAAATTAATTTGGACTAAAAGAAAATCTAATCATTCAAATGAGTTAAACATAAAAGTTTACGGTAAGAATTCAAAAATAATTTACGTAAAAAATATCATTAATTTTTAATTATTTTTAACTTGGAGTATAATTTTTTAATTATTACTATTTAGTCTTCGTAAATTTAATTTATAACCATATCGTTAATTTTTTATGACATGATGGTTAACTAAAGAGGCTTATTAAAATATGCTTATTTAAAAAAAATAAAAAATTAGCAACTTAATTGCATGAATTTTTAAAAACTTGACAAAATTGAGAAAAAGGCATAAGTTCAAGACCATGTTTGCAATTAATAAAAAATGAAAAACAAGAACCCTAGGCCGATACAATTTATACCCTAGTGCTTCACATTTCTTCTTCTCTAAAACCCAGGAAGAAGAAGAAAACCAGAAGGATGGCCGCCGCAGCATCCCGCCCTCTTGTCACCGTCCAGCCCTTGGAAGGTGACATGGCTACTGATTCAGCTGCCACTGTAACCCTTCCCGATGTCATGAAAGCCTCCATCCGCCCAGATATCGTGAATTTCGTTCACGCTAATATCTCAAAGAACAGCCGCCAGCCTTATGCGGTTTCGAAGCGTGCCGGCCACCAGACTTCGGCCGAGTCCTGGGGTACGGGTCGCGCCGTTTCTCGTATTCCCCGTGTTCCCGGTGGCGGTACACACCGCGCGGGGCAGGGTGCGTTCGGGAACATGTGTCGTGGTGGGCGTATGTTCGCGCCGACGAAGATCTG